TGAAACGCGAGATACCGCATCGAAAATTCCCTGCGTCATCGACCACGGCCGAGAGAACGAGTCTCAAGTTATTTGCCTTGTTCTAAACGGGCTCAATGACGACCTGCTTAATCGTCATTAGCGGCGGTGCGATCGAGTTTATCTATCTACAGGGTGATCAACGAGAAGAGGCTCGCGAGAAGTTAAAAATTACAGGCTGCGATATATCGAGATAATACGAATATTTCGGCTTCGCGTTTTTATACACTTGTGGCAAATTTCAAAGTGCAGCGATTTATTTATCATATACGAGACAATTTTCTGTTTAGATTTTCTGTCTAAATATAAATTTGTACAGCATAAGTTTGTACTTGTTCAGTTGAAATTTGCGATACGAGATGAAAAATGTACCTGTAGAATATTTAATCAAAGAATGTTCATTAACTGAAATTTGATGTCGTATAAAATATTATTTTATTAGAATTAACACATAAAAATTTTGACTCAATATTTATCTATCTACCATTGTTCGCTCTTACTATTATCTAAAATCTTGTTACATTCTTCAAAAAAGTAAATACCTCAGCTGCAGGATGGATTGAAACTCACAAGCAAAAATTACCATGGAAAATGGAAATAATTCTGTCTAACAAAAGACAAATCTAAACAGAAGCATAGATCAACATTTAATTTTACGTAAGAGAAAGCTCCACTTTTCTTTAAAACGGACATTTTATATGTTACAATCTAATTATATGTTGCGGTAGGTCAAAAAAAGACACGTTCTGCGTTATAGCAAGCGACAAGCTTTTTCATTCTTGAAAAATTACGTTAAGGAAAAGTTGTTTCATTAATAGTTGAGTCGAGCCGTGTTTATCTCGCTGTAACTCTGTTTTTGCAAATTATTTTCATATAATGTTCTACTATCATATCACGTTATAAATATGCGCCCATTGATGACCTCTGCTTGGTATCTGAATAAAAGGGAAGTAGCTGGTGTGAAAATAAAGCGAAACTTATCTGGACGAAACTTATCGCTTGGCGTTAAATTTTCGTTTATTCTCTCGGTGTCTATCGGAAAGATTTTTTTTCACTTCACTTTTGAATCGGCTTCTACAAAAACCACTGTATTATTCGCGCGAGTTTTATATGCGTGAGCGTGTCGTTTTTCCTTCTCGATTAAAAGTAAGAGATGTGATAAAAGTTAAAGTTGGAAATATAAAATAGTTCGTTTTATCAGTGCCAGAGGTTGAGAATTTTTATTTTTGAGAATTTTCTTTTTTTTTTTAACAGTTCTGAAATAACAGAATTCTATATGCAGTAGTTAGAAATAAAAATATTTCTACCCCGCAGCAGTGAAATTTGTCACTATGATTCGAGTTCGGTTATTAATCGTTCATATTGTTCATTATGTCTCATATGACGAAGCGTATCAATCACTGACGAGTCACGTTGCGTACGGTCGAGATTTTTCATAAAAATTAGCGGGACACCTATCAGCTACGTTGATTAATGGAAAGGATCCTATCCCTCATAGTGACAAGCCTCGTACACGCGTCTCTCGTGTGTTTTCATCAAAAATTGAATGAGCTCGAATGTAATGTTCTATCGTATCTGCCCGCGGCAATTTGCATATTCATATTACAGCGATTACTATTTTTTGCTGCCCAACAATTTCCTCTTTTCAATGCGAGAGCACGTAAATAAAGATTAAAAATTAAAGATAAAATACCGAATTTAAATCGAAAATTGAGTAATTGAGTAGACACATCAAAAAATTAGTATGTAATCGTAGAATGATAAACTATTATGTTTTATAAGAAAGAATATTTTTAGTTTCGCAGAGTATATTATTTTTTTGTATTCGGTAATTGGAACAAATATGAACTTTCTAACATTTCTAGGATTCATTATTCGTAAATTGTAAAATTTAATCTCGAAAAGTTTAACGATTCACGTTTTCGCGATATGAGGCTCCACAGATTTCCGAATTCTCTCGTAAATAAATTAATCCGTGATAACTGTACCTTCATTGTTGTACAATATCTTATCGTGACGATAATAATGTGCAAAAATCAATGCCATTCGACAATCACATTCACGATAATCAATACACGTGATATATTTTAATAATTACATAGATATATTCCAAAGTTTCTAAATTACATAATTGCATTATTTAGAATGAAAAAAAATCACACAATTCTGTACACGTAACCGGAATTTTTATGAGCATACACGTATTTGATAAAGGATACTTTATAACGTAGAAATTATTAATATTTATAACGTGTCAATCTTAATTTGAATTTCGCAATTTACAGACTTCTTTAACCTATCATTTATCCCAGCATTTCAATTAAAAACAAATTGTGTCATATTTGCATTGGCAATGATCAAAATTCACCAAAGATTGATTTATCTTGGCTGTTACTATTAATTTTATAATTACAGGGTTAAACTTACTTTTACTCGTCATTATACGCATTTTACTACGTCTTTGGTAAATTACCAACATCAATAAAAGGCCGAGTTGAATAAAAATTTTCTTCGAAAGTTCTCGCACAAAGGAGTTCATCAAGCTTCGGTGCGATCCTGTTCGATATCTTTGAAAGGCGAAAAGGTAGGCAAAAAAAGAAAAAAAAAAAAAACGATCGGAGTTCACCTGGCGACATTACGCTTTCAACGCGTTACGTGTGCGGCCGATGCCAGACGAAAAGTGCAGTCTATTTTGAAATGCAAAGGTTTTTTTTAAAACGTGGCAAGTAAATGGGGTAGTTTGCACTCAAAATATGTTGCGAGCATTTGGTCACGAGTGAACACGCGGCAATACGTGGCAGGCTGGGAATCATGTAAAGGATCAAAGCGACGGATTGCATCGGGAATGAGAGCCGATTTCCTTTGTGCCGGTATGCGTGCCTGAAAATGCGTTCCTTAAGCCATTGGAAAACCATTTTCGGGGTGACTTTCGCCGATCGTTATTCACATTTCCGGCGAGCGTATCGCCTGCCGCGATAGTACACATTTGTTAAATGATTCAGATTCGACTCGCGGAATTGAGATTTCGACGTTTGGTCTTACGATCTCTACGTTATATCGAGAAATACGTGATCTTTGTATCTATCTTGTTGCATATTTTCGTTAAGAAATCTATGCATTTGTATAGGATCGTTCCAATTAAAATTTATCATTTTTTTTTTTTTTTTTACTGGAGGAACTTGAAAGTTAAAGATTAGATTCTTATAAATAAATATACATATATTATATTACCGGAAGGTTTGTCATCCTTCTAAATTCTTTTTTAATTATGCCTCTTTCTTAAACGTTTGCTGGGATCTCTTAAGTTTATTGGGGACCCGACTACCTGAATGTATAATGGTCAAGGAAACACGCTGATTGGTTTTCCCTAAAATTTTCGAATACCAATCACCTCCTTCTAAGTACCTTTAGTACGCCCATTTTTGGAAACAATGAGGTTCCAAAACTATAAATGTTCCGAGATTTAGAAAAAGCCGTAGTTTTCTCCGGTCTCTACAAGTAGAAGGTACGAGCGTACTCAGTATACTTGGTCGAGCGTACTCAGTCTCTATCGAGAAATTGTTAAAGGAAGAACAATAGTAAAATACCGTTTTCGTGCAGCAAATTGTTTTTGTGCAGAAAGTGTTTTATCAGTGTTTGTTGGCAGTGCTTAATTTTTCAGTCAAAAATTTCGCTTTCGCCACTAGCTTTCTTCGTGGCTCGTATCAAAATCTACACGTTATTATTGCAGCGTAACAAAGGTACAGTATATCTTTCGCTAAATTCGTTTGTTAATTTTTAAGTTGTGAGAATCTAAATTTTTTTTCCCGCGATAGAATGAATAAAAAATCGCGACGAGTGAAATACGTACGATTTATTAGAATTGAAAATAGAATAAATGATCGCGGGAATATAATGGATGGAACATATATAGAAATACATTTTTAGACTTCCGTTGAAATACCTCTGCCCAAATATCACGAAGCGACGGGGCTAATGAAATTTAAATTATTATAAAGGAAATACTAATTTTATTAATTATTATTATACTCGGTGAAAATATCAATCTCTCGTGATTTTCTTTCGAGTTTCCGATACATATGTATGTGCACTCGAATTGAAAATAACAAACAAGGAACGAGATAACTATATTTTCCTAGTATAGTATTATTTGTAATGCGGTATCCAACGATATCGTTGGCAAAATATGCAGCAGTTATCTTGCAATATAAGTAGAGGAGGATTATATTCATTGCTCTTGTACCGCGGTGTAACAAGCCTGGTTTTGTAGTGGGAATTTCTGATTTATTGAAAATTGAAATCTACTCGAGATAACGAAAAATCACAAGAATGTTCCGTTTTAGACAAATAAACACGAGCGAACTTTTATCGAGCGTAATCTCTAAATACATGGATATCACAATATCGAAAAACTGAAGATCGCCATAATTTACCAACAAAAAATGCAATTGACGAACGCACTTATTATCGTTATCGACGTTAAATCAGAAAGAGAAAGTAAATTTTTATCGAATCCACCGTATTTTGATTTTCTTTCGTTATGAGCAAAGTGTCAGCTAGTAATAAACAAATTATTTTCAAGCAAATAAATAATTTGTAATTCCTCTAAGGAAGATCCATCTTTTTTTTTTTTTTTATTAAGAAAAGAAGAAAAGAGCAGCCTTTTGAAACTTGCTGAAACAAAAATATCAGCAAGGCGTGTTGCGAGTTTTGTTACGTGTATCGAAAGTTACTTAACGAAACGCTCGAGGAACGTCGCTCTCTTTGTCCAGTTTGTCGTTATTAGACATTCCACGGATTCCACAGTGGTTCGTTCGTTGGGTTGTAAGCTTTCCGTGGAGGTGCCGTGAATGTGAAATAAATTCAAACGCCTGGCGTAACGGAACTTCCGTTTAAGAGGGTGTTTAGTGTCTAGTTGTACCGGCGGCCGACAGATGGCGCAGAGCGGGACTTATTTATACGTAGATGCGGACTACATAAGTATATACACGTGATTGCTTCACGATACGTCGCGTCGTAAGGATAGGCTTCGAGTCACGGCCGTTCGAAGTGCACGTGAGCTTCAAATGAACGGGATCTCGTTTCATTCAGAAACTACGAAGCCGCGGTTCTGCTAGCCGCAGCTCGAATCTGCGTGTATATTCGGCGATACCGATCAGTGCTCTGTATTCCAGGGACACGTGTGTTTCACCTTTGACAGACAAACATGACGACGTTACAAGCGATCAGGTGGGAAAACGGCAAGCTGGAGATACTTGATCAAATACTGTTGCCGGCGATCTCACGATACATCCCTGTCAGAGGAGTGGAGGACGGTTGGAAAGTCATAAATAACATGCAGGTACGTGTTTTGTCTGTACGTTTGTGAAGAGCAGAGAATTGGCTCCTTTTCAATGTCGATCTCATTCGTGTCAAACGTAGTTTATGTACGTGGTACAATAGCAAGATAACGCGTTTAAGCGTTCCTATTGACTGAACAATAAGATGTCGGAGTAGTTAAATCGCAGTAAAAGGAAATTTTACTGTGGCAATTTCAAGCGATTTACGTGATCGGAATTTTAATTGGAAGAATTAGCTGATTTAAATCGCTCGCCGTTCACGGAACAATTTGCCCACTGTTTTCAGTTGGCAAAAATGGAGGTGCTCTGGCATTTAATTGCAAAGTTTATCTTTTGTGGTGTTCGCAGGTTCGTGGCGCACCAGCTATAGCCATCGTAGGCTGTTTAAGTTTGGCAACAGAGATTAAAAACGAGGAGTACACAGACAAGAAGAGCCTTCGACGGGACGTGGAGGGCAAATTGAATTATTTGGTTTCTGCTCGACCAACTGCTGTTAATATGAAAATAGCTGCGGATGAACTGATTCAACTGGCTAATAAACTTACTAAGGATGATACTGTTAACGTAACAGAGATGAAAGAAAGGTACGAGAATTGGTCTCTAAATGGATCAGGTTGAGCCCTATTCAATGTTGTTAATAATAATGGTAATTTTCACAGATTTTTTGAAGCCATAGAAGCTATGTTGGAGAAGGATATCGCTGATAACAAGGCCATTGGAGACTTTGGAGCGCAGGAGATCTTAAAGAACGTCTCAGGGGACCATTCTGTTAGGATTTTAACGCATTGTAATACTGGCAGTTTAGCAACAGCAGGTTATGGCACAGCTTTAGGTGTTATTAGATCTCTTCATATGAAAAATAGTCTTGGTAACTTTTGCATGTTTCTAATCTTATTTTCTTATTATCTTTATGATAAAATTATGTAGTATTATTTACAGAACACGCATACTGCTCTGAAACTAGGCCGTATAACCAAGGAGCAAGACTGACTGCGTATGAATTAGTATATGAAAAAATTCCCGCCACCCTAATCTGCGACGACATGGTGGCAGCTCTGATGAAATCAAGAAAAATTTCTGCGGTTGTCGTCGGTGCGGACAGAGTTGCTGCAAATGGCGACACAGCTAACAAAATTGGAACCTATCAAGTAATATTTGCACCAAGTGTCTTCGTTGCAATCTCTGAAGTGTTTATTGGATACCAAACTAAGTGTTTTTGTTTCTTTTTCTCTCTCTCCACAGATTGCCATAGTCGCTAAGTATCACAACGTTCCGTTCTACGTAGCGGCTCCACGAACTTCTATAGACTTCAGTATACCTAGTGGCGACCATATCGTTATCGAAGAAAGGCCAGAGAGAGAAATGACGCATATAAATAATCAACGAATCGCGGCACCTGGGATACAGTGTTGGAATCCAGCCTTTGATGTAACCCCAGCTAGTCTAATTAAGGGTATCATTACGGAAGTTGGAGTGTACAGACCTGAAGATTTAATACAATTGAAGAAGAATTGCGAGCACTCGTAAATTATCGATCGATTGCGAGCAAAGAAGAAAGCTTCCGGGATGCATTTATACGAACGAATTAACCGGTAATTTCGACGTTACGAAAAATTGTTGGCAGGCACTTTGTTTATTTGAAAACTTCGTGTTAAAATAAAATTGTTGGCATATTACGCTTATTTGAACATACACGTTAAGCCTGATGGACGCGGTAAAAATGTAGCGTGGATATACATGTACGTGTTTCCGTTTAAAAATGCCTTATTCGCTGTGATTTTTATAAATATATTTATAGTGATTAATATGTCGTATAGATAGTTGTATTGATACGAAGAAAGAAAGAAAGAAAGAAAGAAAGAAAGAATGAAGAATATCGATTGTATGAATCATGTATATGAAATATAAGATAGTCGAAAACATTTTTTAATCATGTGTTCTTTCAATTTTAGTTCCCGCGTGTATTACCAGATGGCGCGAACGTCCACACTTGAACAAGCACGGTACGCGCGATCGGCACTTTTCGATTTTCCGTCGAGCAAACAATTTAACTTTATCGCAAAACGAGCTTTGCGTACGCACAGTTTTACGAGACAGTTTCACGAAATAGGATAAACGAGTATATATTTAAGTACGTGTATTTCAAATTTACCTTCAAACGAAACAAAACCTCGGGAATTCTCGTGTCGTACCAGCTCGAGTTTAAAGTTGCGATATATGTACAATCATTCCTTCCTCGCGAGTTCATTCATCTTCCGTGCGAACATAATCCCTCACGAACAACCGGCAACGAGATCGCACAACGAGAAGAAAACAGTCGAGTGAAGATAACGCGAAATAGAACTAACAATAATCATATTAGAGACACACCGAGGGAAGCCATTGTGTATCGAAGCGATCGATTTCTTTCATAATCGATATGTCTCGCGGTTGACGGTTGTGCGGCTTCTTCCCGTGATCCCCTGTAGACGCGTTCGAGCGGTGGCCAGCGGTGAGACGCGAATTTGAACGGCAACATCCCTTGGATAGTGATCGAGCTCGAGTATCGACTCGCCGCGAGTATTTATCGTTTGGAGTGAACGACGAATTCGAACACTGGGTTACGCGTGTTACGACGCGTGCAGTTCCTTCGGGAAAGCTTGGCGATGATCTATTTTGGTTGAAAGGCGCGCGGGAACGCGTTCGGCTGCGGGTTTCTCGAACCGCGGTGCTTTAGTACGGCCAGTCTCTCCGCTTCGCGCAGAACTTCGTCGATCCCGGAATAGTTTCGTCGTAGTTGCTCGTCGAAGTTTTTCGCGCGGCCCCGTTGCACGAGCCGATTCTCACACGGAGCGTGTTCGTGCCGCGAGTTCCGCCATTATTCTTGCAATTCCACCTGTCACGTGACCTCGGTTTCGACTTTTGCTTGTGTCTCGAGCGAGAGCAAGGGAGCGAGAGAGAAAGAGAAATAAGACAAAACAGGAAGCATCGATAACAATACGTATCGAGTTACTCTCGAGTCTCTTCGATTCGTTCGTTGACACGATCGTTCAACCTGGAAGCTGATACGGAGAACACGGGGATGGATGCGACGGACGTCCTCGATCCCGACACCCCGTCAGCTAACGGTGAGGATGTTTCAAACGCCGGTAACAATAATGGCAACAACAACGAGGACGACGAGGCGCCCACCGTCGAGGAGACTTACGAGGTTACCACCACCAAACGCAAAACCATCCGGACCAGCTACAAGATCCAAGAAGTAAGTGACGACACGTATAAATGACACGTGCGATTACGGTATCTTACGGCCCGTTGCTGACGCCCCTAAACGTGGGCGTTTCTTTGAAACGCGCTGCAACGTGCCTCAAATCTCGAATTCTGTCTATTCTATCTAGCGAGAGAAGCGGTGTCAAATTGTCAGTTGTTTTGTCAAAAGTATCCCCCAAACATCAGGAACGATTCGTACATTTAAACGCAAATTTTGACGACATTTGGAACTTTAGAGTTTATTGTTCTGATAGAGACTACGTAATAATGATAAACAACTCTGTTTAGTAATTTTTCATTGTCATTATTTTGCGATGCTCGGAATTGACAGTCGGTTCTGTATAGGCACTAAATGAGTTATACATCCGATCGATTCACAAATTTTGCATCAGTTTTGAAGATAAGTAAAGTAAAGAATCACGATTGTAATTCGTTTCACTAGCTTCTACAACGCTGATGTAACATAAATGGATGTCAGTGTGTCGATAATCGAACAATCGACTCTATTGTCGCGGCAAACCGAAATAAATACACGAAGATTTAAGGCGGGGGGTTTTTTCTTTTTTTTTTTTTTTTTGAGAGTACGATTCGTGCAAGCCAAAAATAAACGGAGAAACTTCTGTTCGACGAAACGTCTGCTCGAGAACCTCGGTTCATTCTGATATTCGTCAAGGATAAACGGGCTTATTTCGATCCGCAGATTTTTGTGGGATTTATCAACATTATTTGACGCGTAGCTTTATTCGGCCTCGTCGAGGATCGGGTATGACACCCGTGGTTCATTAACAATGAATAGATCGTACGCAGGGCAGAATACTAATTTCATTGGTACCTTGCATTCTCTCTAATCTCATTTTCTAAATTTCTCGAAAATTTCACATGATTTTTACATTGCAATTAGACTGCGAATTTTTATGCATCTGAGAATATAAAAATACTCTTTAATCCAAGACTCATTAACTTGGGCAATTAAATCTAATATCTTTGAAGTATTATCAAGCTCTCCTTGTCTCTCATCTTTTAAATTTTGGTTCCCTTTCCAATTTCTAAATTGAACCAGTATATACTTATATAGTATAGTATAGATCCTATTTTTTAAATCAATGAAAACATAAATTTGCCTATCTACCTATGATTTTAAATTTTTGAAGTTTCGCTTGACAATTTTATTTGTTGTAAAATTTATGGTACGTGATGATTTCTATTTGAGAACTGGGATTGGTCGAGTCGTGCGCAATTAACAATTTGTACTATTCACGGATTAGTTACTGTCGAACGTGGGCGGATCAAAGATGCCATAAATTGTGCAGTTATGAAATGCATAGGTCAAATTGTACTAAGTCTAACGGTTTTCTAATTTCGGTAGGTAACCGTCGAATTTATCTTCTGCAAGTCTATCTCCAATATTTCATAAAAATAAATGAGAACGATGGTTCATTTTGTTTAATACTTGTATATAAAACAAACTAAAAAATATTTCAATATCGCATAAATTTTTTTAAAAGATTTTAGTTCTGAAAATGTTTGAAATTCTGTTTCACCTATTTGATCCTGGCAAATATTTTGAAGCATCGAAGTATTGGAATTTCTTTGCGATGTTCGATACGATAACGCATAATTTTTGAATGTTATATTAAATATTTAAAATACACAGGCTTTGAATTGTTTTATAATTGAAAGCGAAATTATTGTTGAAATTATTCTGAATAGTTCCATTCTATTGTTTTTATTCATGTGTTAACGCTGTCAGTTAAAGAATTTCGATATCGGTGAATTTAACGCCACAATTAGGCTGTTGGGAATTCTATAAATTTCGATCGTCAATCAATAATATTCGAAACGATTTGTGATTTCATTGCACGTGATGGTACGATTCAAACTGAACTCAGTTTATTCGAGGCTAACACATAAAATCAACGAGTCTGTGGAAATATAAACTTAGATTCTAAATCAATCGTAAGCTGGATCCGCAATCTATTTGTAATCCCTGATTGAAATCACACCCGTATTTGGGCAGGAATGATTTAAATTTGAATGAATTAGTCGTAGTTAGTACAAATTGATCGAACGTCAGAATTATTAGTAAGAATCAAAAATTTTAGTTTGAAAACTTCTTTGAAAACATTCATTTTTTTTATTTTATATGCAATTTCTATCATCTTTCCAATATATTCTCAGATTTTACAAAATTTCAAAAAATTTCGTTTCTTCAAAATGTTCTTTCTCTCAAAATTCACAACAGTTTGTTATTATGTGTGCCCGTAGATATTCAAATCGTAGTTAATTACAACGCACAATCGTAAACCTACATTTCACACGACCTCGTATTCTAAACTCTAAACAGCCCGCAGAACACTAACGATAGAGCAAGAAACCTTCACGAAACCTTTACAGCCGACATTTACAGCGGTGATCTCTGACAAAAGATCCCTTTCTCCCAACAACAAACATTCTCCAAGAGAGAAAAAAAAAAAAAAGAAAAAGAAAAAAATCCGAGTAAAAACTTTCAGAAATAGAAACGAGTAGTCCAACATCCGCGCGGATGAAGCGCAAGTCTTGGTCGATTCATCAAAGTTGCTGGATTCCTATTTTTTTCTTTTTTTTTTTTTTTCCTCAACGAGGGAAGAAAAAGGGAACAGCAGCGCGCCGGTTTCCGCGAAGTTGCCACCCGATCCGATCGAGGCTGTCGAGGCTCGTCAGAGACAAAAGGGTAGTTCGAGCACGAAATTAAATCGACGCGACGAAGCGACAGGCCGCGACGCCGGAATAAGAAAGATTAGTCGGGCGGCGTTTAATGCAAAATGAACGGACAACGGGCACGATTTACTCAGATTCTACGTCATTGTCGGTACGACGGTTTTAGATCTGGCAACCGACTCGCTTCGAACTGCTGGGAACGAATGGCGGAGAGGGCGCGACGTAAATCCGGCCGATGAATGCCTTGGCGAACGTTTCTCGCGATTGGGACTTCCGATTAACGATAATCGTCTTCTGTTTCGCGCTCGATTCTCTCAGTCGTTGCCCGCATTTCCCGGCGAATTTGTTACAGCGAGATCGATTGCCTGTCGATGCGTTTTCTACGTATACATGTGTATTTGCTACTTTCCTTTTTCGTTTTTTTCTTTTTTTTTTTTTTGTATTTTTTTTTGTCAGTGAATTTCGTAGAGTTGAAATTTGGTCGATGGTTGTAAATGAATGGAAAAGAAATTTATTCAAAAAGGGTGCAGGCTCTAGACTAAAGATTTGTAGACTAAATAGTGTACATAACTCATAATACACAACGATAATATTGACATTTCTCACAAGGTTAAGATGGAAACAATAGAGAAAGTAATATAATTTCGGACTGTGTAAATGTCTGAAGTACCCGTCAATTTCGTATCCAAAAGATGAACAGATTCTTTCGTTTTAATCATAAATACAACTTAAATGGCAACAATTTAAAAATAAATAAATATCAATGTCAAAAATTGTTAGGTCCTTACTTTTTGACGTTTTGAATTTGGATTAACAAGTATATACACTTTAACATACACTTTGCAGTAAAATATCGAGATGGATTTATTTTATTAAACTCTTCAATAATATTTAAAATAACGTGAAGGATTGAGTAATTTTTG